ATTAAATACAGTAGCAAAGATAAGAAATGATCCTTCAATAATATTGAGTAATTGTGTTACAGTACGAATAGTATATCTAAAATGAAATTATAGTTGAGATTCCAGTGCTCTAACGTATCTAGTGCATAATGCAGTACGGTACAATATTATTTTAATGATAACATAAATAAAGTTGACGTTGTGCAAATAGAGTTTTTTAAATACATTAACCGTATGAAATCGCTTTGTTTGAATCATTTACAATAGTTACTATTGATGATTAATTGTGTGCTACTAAAAATTTCGTGAAGGAAGCAGGCTGCACAAACAGGATTTTGATTTGTCAAGCATCCAGTTGATCCATTATGAATTGTACTTAGTTATTGCATCTTATTTAGGGCATAGTATACTTATACCAATATGTTTGTAAAGGTATTGGATTGCCCAAAAAGTTGAAAGCCTTAATCTATAATTTCCTTTTTTAAATATCATTTAAATGTTATGATTGATGGATGCGAGAAAACATATAAGCACCTAATCTTTTATTGAACGTCTCAACTTCAACTTTTTAATAGATACTTTTAGTTTTATGCATTTAGCACCATTATCGTCAAAGAAAAATAATTTGATGTAGTTTTTTTAGGCAATCCACTTTTAGACGGATGATTTACCGATATTGCTATCAATACTATATCAGTAACTTTAATTAAATGAGGTAATTAATGACGGTTCTGTCATAAAATCAGACTCAAGAGAGTTATTCTGGTAAACACAACAAAATCGTTACAAATTTTCGTTTAGAAAGACATAACTAAGTATTTAACAACCATTAATGTAACTGATTACTTCTCATTTTTTTGTTTTCATTAAATATTTTAACATTGAGATAAGCTTTAAGAGTAATAATACTATATATATTTACACAGAACAACGTAGAAGGTAGTTTGTCTGGGTGTGTGCAATTAAAGGTTCTATTAGCTTTCATTCGATCAACAGTATAATGTAACGAAATTGAAAGATTTAATTTGATTAAAAAAATTCTTAAAAATAGTTTTTACTGCAGTCACAGTGGTATTCTTCCTTAAATATATTCTGTCATTTCTCATATCAATGTAATTTAAGAACTTCTAATTGGCTGCTATCTACTACATTAAAAAATTGTAGTAACATTATGTGTACAATTTGTATTTCGTATAGACACTTGTTGGAACTTTTATTTAATCCTTACTTTTAACATCATCAATTAGAAAAAATATAATTTAACACTTTATTACAGTAATAGTGATAACAGAGAGCGATGGCAGTTTCAGTTTAGTTCCTCTAATATTTGATTTCTTTCCTTATGGTGTGATCAATATAAATTCCATAGAATACTTATTTAAATACCGCTAAAATTAAAATTAATGATTTATAAAAATACGGTTTGTCTTACAAGAAATTCGTGCAAAGTACTAAATCTTTATAAAACGTGCATTTAATATCAGACATTTTCCTTCTACGTTTTTTGTGGGAGAACTTATAAATATTGAGCCATAAATGGCAGTGTCACTTCAGAAACCAAAATAAGTTCGCAAATTCATAAATCCATAGAAATTTGCATTAATATACTTGACGCCCTGACATAGGATATCAACTATCATCAATGTTATGAACGAAATAACATTTTCAAATATTTTAAAGCAATTCAGTAATAGAATTCGTAATTATAATTCCTTCGCATAATTTGCTGTAATACCCGTCGCAAAATTTGATATATTTTTATCCATATTTATATCTTCAAGCTAGAATAAAATTATATCTGCGGTGTACAAAATGTATACAAAAAATAAATGTGCGTAGAATACGAGTATGCACAAAGAAACAAATTGAAATCGATGCAAAATTAACTTACACATGATGTACTGCTAAGTATATCGTCCATATCTTCAATTTCTTCGCTTATATCCTCGCTATGAGCACTGGAAACTTTTTCGTGCTTTTTAGTTTCTAGCTTTATTGGACTATCCATTTTTGTAGGATCCTTGGTAGGACTTTGATCATAAGCACTACCAGATGCTGATGATACAAAATCTTCCTCGTAATTATCTGTTCCGTCAGTTCCTATAATCGTTAGATTTACAATACGAAGATCAGAAAGAATGTATTATAAAAGTATGCGTTAACGTACCAAGCCCAATATCCATCAGTTCCTTCAAATCATTGATATCAGTTGTTTTACCATTAAGCGGCGGGAGATCACTAAGTATAGATTGTGATTTTTTATCTAAAGGTGGTAAATCTTCTAAAAAAGTTTGAGTATTACGTATATCATTAATATTCTCTCTTTTACCGTCAACAATAATTTCATCAAAGTATACAGTTTTCCCATAATTGTTACCAGCGCTAACTGGCTTTTTGTTTTGTACATTATTCGCTATATGTAATTCCAAACTATTTATATTATTTTGCACGCTTATATCATTTTGATTTGTTTGCATTTCTGTAACTATAGATTCGTCAAACTTAATTAAAGGCTCGGTTTTATTTAGTAAATTTGTTTGGATGGGTGTATCTATCTCAGTCTCTTTTGTTGTATAGTTCATCACTTTACTTGTGCCATTTGGACTTGTAGGGAGTGTATCAAAATTCATACTATTGTTCCCCTTGCTATCAATTCCATTATTCTTTTTATTGTAATCCGAAGTCGTATTATTCCTGAGAGGATCATTTTGTTTTTCGCAATTCAATTCATTCGTTGAAATATGAACAGACGCGTCCTTATCTTTTCTATCTGTTACCGTCACATTTATCGGTAGTTTTGGACTCTGTTGCGAGGAACTTTCTAATTTATCTGACATATCATTATCATTCGACAACGATGTTGTCTCAATATTTAATACTTTTGGGATGGAAATTTCAAATGTTGTGTTAGCAGCATTTGTTGTTGGTTCGTCAGTTTTACTAACATTTCTGTCAATTTCATTCTATAAAAAAATTACGTACATACATAACTAATAAAGATGTATAAATAATAAATGTTGAAAATATTCGATAATAATCAATGGTGACTCATGGAGCATACACGACACTACATAAATATGTAATCATAAACTTATGTATTGTACATCTATGATACTGTCAATAATATGTTATAAATGATCTCATTGTAGATACCTTTTGTGTATTATTAAAGGCACTGTTCATACTGTTTTTTAATATTTCTCCAAGCAATGGTTCGTTGGATTCAATACCTAATTCTTCGCATAATTTATTTCTCCCAACATAATTATATTCCTTCCCAAAGTAAGTTTCGGGATCATATACTGATATTGTATAATCAAGACCAAAATATTCTAGGAACTCCCTAACCAAGGAAAACAATAATTTTCCTTCTGAATTAGCCAGGTACTGCTTTACAGTTTTATTTAGAAGTGGTTCCGGATTCTGAAATATTTATTCCATTCATTCAGAACTTCATTAATAATGGACAAGCTCAAGGGATAATGCCAATCATATACCATACTTATAGAAATCAATATTTTTTTCATTTTTGTACATACTTTTCGAGATACTCTTATACAGAATTAAAACATTTCTTTTTCTGATAAAAAATGGATAAAAAATCTTTCTGGCCTCGAAACATTATCTGTGACATAAGGATTTTTTAACGAGCTCTAATATTGCTGTTTTTTAATGAACATATAAAAAAAATTTGTCATTATACTTCAAACTACGTACAATAAAGATTTTTAAATATATTTTGTATTACATTCACTACATTATCATAAAAAATTATTAAAAGGAGGCTATTTTTCTGAGTGCTAGAATGGCATTATCTCTTAACATTATATTACATTCTCTTAGTACGAGGTGTGGTCGAGGAATATAAAAAGTATTCATGCAAAACACATGTAAATAGGAGTCTTTTAAAATTCTATGCTACTGAATACTTTGACATACCATTACAGATTCTTGTTCTTCTAAAGCTAAGAACACACTTGCCCTGAGTTCTGCCTATAACATTACAAAGTTGTATGTTATAAATGATATTACGAACGGAATTAAAATTTATAAAGAAAGCCTGCGTAACCTGTGTACACGACGTGACTTTTAAAAAGTTTATTTTACATACCCGCACTTTTGCAAGAACACCATTGTTTTCAAGGGTTTGCACCACCAAATCCCGTAATTCTGTATCCTCCTCCATAGAAATGTTTCCGTCTATCATGATATTATAAATAAAAATTATTCTCACAAACACTCAAGAAATGTAAATATTTACGCTTTCCATCGCGTGTCTTCTTTTCACTTCTGTTTACCTAGAGATTATTTTTTTCCTATCTAGGGAGCTTGTAATTAGAATTTTTTTTAAAAAAGTACAAAAAACCTAATTTCATTCTCCTAAATAATTATTTTTGTAGACTATTGCGAATTATTGAGTACTTATATGTGCAAATAGGTAAAATTAATGCAGTATGGTGCAAATTGTAGGCATTGTTGAACGAACATAATAAGACTGTGAACGTGCTGTAATATATCTATGTGTAGGTGTAGGTTCACATACTTGTGCCCAGAACAAAATCCACTAAGTTACGTGTACATACATATGGAACCGGAAACATTTACTGCTACCGCCCTAAGTTTGCCGCCTTTGAAAGAGGCGTGTAAAGATATTATTATAAACTAATACGATATTTTTTATCGTAAATAAAACGAAAGCAAAATGTTGGTATTGTTTGAAACCCCAGCGGGGTATGCTATTTTCAAGGTAAGCCATACTTATAAACCTGTATACAAATTTTTAACCTTAAAAGCGTTACACGTGTTCACCTGTATCACCATGCGATTCACCTTAGATTTGTTTAAAACAATTGTCATATTTAACAATGAGTTTGTATTAAAGTATTTTTTACTTAAAGTCATATTTTTCTTTTGCAGCTACTCGATGAAAACAAGTTGACAGAAGTAGAAAATCTTTACCATGACTTTGAAACACCGGAAACTGCAAGTAAAGTGTAAGTAACATTACTTTTAGTCAAATTCTTGAATGTATGTTCTTTTATGATTACAGTGTTTTACAAGTTATGTTGTTTTCACATTCATTTGTATCATTTTATACTGACAATTATAGTTTCTTGATTGAAATTTAATGAAAAATGTATAATTACCATTTAAAAAAAAGTGAATTTTATCCTTAAAGCACAAAATAATGAATTCAAATCTTTCTAATCATAGGGTGAAATTGAAGCACTTTGAGAAGTTCGCTGATACCACCGACGCTCTAGTTGCTACAACAGCTGCAGTAGAAGGTAAACTTTGTAAATCGTTGAAGAAAATGCTCAAAAAGCATTGTAGTGAAGTTCAAGAACAATTAGCTGTAGCAGATGCTAAATTAGGTAATGCCATAAAAGATAAATTAAGTTTATCTTGTGTCAGTAACACTGCTATACAAGAATTAATGAGATGCATAAGAAGTCAAATAGATGGTTTATTGGTCGGTCTTCCTAAGAAAGAAATAACGGCAATGGCGTTGGGCCTAGCTCACAGCCTTTCTAGATATAAGCTGAAATTTTCACCTGATAAAATTGACACTATGATAATACAAGCCGTTTGTCTATTGGATGAGTTAGACAAGGAATTGAATAACTATGTTATGCGTTGTCGCGAATGGTACGGCTGGCACTTTCCAGAACTTGGAAAGATTGTTACAGACAACGTAGCATTCGTGAAAACTGTGAAAATAATTGGAACCAGGGAAAATACTATTAATTCGGACTTGTCCGACATATTGCCAGAAGATGTAGAAGAAAAAGTAAAAGAAGCCGCTGAAATATCTATGGGAACTGAAATTTCGGAAGATGACATTCTAAACATTCAACATTTATGCGATCAGGTTATCGAGATTTCTCAGTATAGAACACAATTATATGACTATTTAAAAGCGAGAATGATGGCGATGGCACCGAATCTTACCGTACTCGTGGGAGACCTGGTGGGCGCCCGCTTGATATCTCACGCCGGATCTTTAATTAATCTTGCTAAACATCCAGCGTCTACTGTACAAATACTTGGCGCTGAAAAGGCATTGTTTAGGGCATTGAAAACTAAGAAGGACACACCCAAGTATGGTTTAATTTACCATGCGCAACTTGTTGGGCAGTCTTCTACTAAGAATAAGGGAAAAATGTCTCGAATGTTAGCAGCTAAAGCTTCGTTAGCGACTAGAGTGGACGCATTAGGAGAAGATGGGAATTTCGATTTTGGCGCTGAACATAAAGCTAAGTTAGAAGCGCGTTTGAGAATATTAGAAGAAGGAAATCTTCGTAGAATCAGCGGAACGGGCAAAGCGAAAGCTAAATTTGAGAAATATCATTCTAAAAGCGAATACATGCAGTATCCGACTGCTGCCGATACTACTATTTCTGGTGTGAAGAGGCAACATTCCGAAACTGAGGCTAAGAAGCCACTAATCGAGGACATCACACAAGTGGATGAAGAAGTTCCAAAGAAAAAGAAAAAGAAAGACCGCGATAATGTAAACGAATCGGTAAGTGAACAAACCGCTCAACCAGAAGAGGAAAGTATATCAGTATCGAAAAAGAAAAAGAAGAAGCTTAAATTGGAGGGGACTGAAGGAAAGAGTACAGATACGGATACAAAATCTGAAAAGGAAGATAATACAGAACCAACAGAAAGTGGAAAAGAGCCCGGCACATCGACAGGTAATAATTCTCTATTATATTTATATTTTTTAT